CCACATCTTCACTTTTAGTCCTTTATTACAACAAACCCCTTTTCCCAGCACCTGTCAAGTGTTCATAGGAAGGTTGTCTCTCCATCCTACATTTCGGTATGTAATCTAAAACTGGATGTATAAGAGCTTAAAGAAAGATGACATCAAGGATTGTGAGGCTACAATAAAAACTTAAGAGACAAAAATAGCTGATATGCAATCTGAGATCAAGTCCCAAATTCATGTAGAGGTTTAATTTTTATTGAAGTCTTTATGGTAGAGTTCTGAGGGCTCTTCTCATACAGAAGAATTCTAAAAAGAATGATGTTGAGGTGTCCTATAGTTCTACCTCTAATGTGATACCTCTATCAAGTCCTAACTATCAAGTAGCAACTCCCAGATCCTTTTATTTTGCCCTTCTGTCACCAAGTTCAGTGAGATGCAGTTCTCCTCAATGCTGCCCAATTACAAGATCTTGAACCATTACCTCCTTTACAGCCCATGGGTCATATGAACCTGAATGCAGTAAAATTATGAGTTGGGTGTTCCAGATTTTTTTGGAGATCGTAGCCTGACTTTCGTATAGACTGGTTAGATAAGAAAATCTATTTTCCTGAGGCCAAATCGAAGAATACTACTACAGGTGGGCGGCTAGGGGTTGCCTAGGCGACTAGGTGGTTTTCATGGATCGCCTCACCCAAACGCCAGATGATTGTCCTATTAGGCGCTCACCCAGATAATTTGGTGCACACCTAGGCGACTAAGTGGGCGCTTAGGTTGCTATTCAGATTGTTGCCCCACACATTATATCATTTTTTATTTGTTTCATTTTATATTGCTATTCATGTGGGTGCTTAGTCCAAGTTATCTTGTTATTCCTGTATTTTATTTTCTTATTTTTCTTCAAGAAATATTTTTGGAAATGAAACAGGGGCTTTGCCCCTTTTTTTGTCCTATTACTCTTGTATTTTATTTTCTTATTATTTAAGGAATATGTTTGGGGATGAACAGGGGCTCCACTATTTCTTCTTCTTAAACAGGATCTGTGCCCTATCTTTCTAATTTTTCCTGTATTTTTTGCATTCTTTTTAATAATGTTTTTTTAATGAAACAGGGGCTCCACCTTATTTTTCTCTTTTTATCGCTGCATCCCTCCATTTCTCCTTTTTTTTTCACTGCATTTCTTAGTTGCTTCTTATTTGCTTTATTGAACAGTTAGTTAAATATTGAAGTTAATATATTTAACTGATGCATATGATGGCAGTTTATATTTTTACATGAAATTTATACTTGAAAGATTTTGTTGCTGATGGTTAATGTACAGGTTTGCTGATTGGTAAATTAAAATAAACTAGCTTAGGAGGGGTAGGGATCTACAGATTTTATATACCTGCCTAGGCGCCTTAACAACTATGGGTTCAAGGTTTAAAATAGCTAGTTCTTATCTCTGTGGTGTGACCTATAAGCAACAACTTCATCTATAGTTGAGAAAACTATGCCAGAATTTCATGGTAGAAGTCTACAAATAAACTCTACCACTTGGCAACTTATTCTAACCTTGGGTTGAATGAAGATATATTGATAACTCRGTAACTCAGGATTACCACAATAGGTTGCATCAGGATTAGCCTTGTCCAGGTTGCATATTATGGCAAATACAATTGAAGTTGCTTGCCAGATTTATGTTTCCAATCATCCTCAATCTGGTGCAACTTGAATTGCCTCTGTCATGGTATAAAACCTACAAACATCTAATCCTAATGCAATCTGCTTCTATAATCATTGGCAATTCTGGGCTAACATTATATTCTTATTCTACTCAAAGGTTAGAATGAGTTGCCAGGTTTCAAGGGCTTTGTAAACAGTTAAAGGATAATATCTTTGTTAACTTTCAAGGGTTTGGGACTTGTTTGGTGTTTTGGGAAGGTTATTTGTTTCCCTTTGTATATCTTCTGTCTGTACATGGTTTTGTTAGTAATATAGTTATCTTTGCTTTTTCTCAAAAAAAGAGTGAGTTGCCAGGTGATAGAACTTCTATACTATTCCACTATCATGGAAACTTGGACTAATTCACTAAACCGTAGATGGAGATCCCTCCCTACCATTCTTTTCAAAATTTCTCTGCAGGAGAAATCTCTGCTATAATTTCTTCAATAGCACAGTGGACAACAACCTTCCTATGAACTCTTGGCAGGTGTTAAAAATGGTCGAATGTTGTGAAAAAGCAAAACGTGAAGAGAACTACGGTAATACTAGGGTTTATAGCCAGCATTTGGGGTTTGGAAATTGGAATAGGTCCATGGAATGGTTTAGGGTTAGTAAGGAAGGTTAGGAATTCAAAGAGTGGGTTCTAGAGAGAAAAGTTGTGTAAAAAATCTTGCATACACTGAAGGGTGGCAAAGGAAAGAATTTTAGTTATGATGAATTAAAAAAATGGGCTAAAAATTTGTGATTGGGTTAGATATACAAAGGGTTTGGTGTGGGGAGAAGATTTAGTGGCGTTTTTCTAGGGTTTCTAAGTTTGATGATTTCTAGAGAGAAAATGCTAGTCTAGGGTTTTGTATTAGCTCTATAAAAGTTGAAGAAAGGATGGAAGAAACTAGCTTGGAGGTTGAAGAAAGATAGGACTAAAGAAATTAACGCTTTCTAATATATGGAATTACAACTCCGATATTGAGATAAAACTTGTAGAAGAGAAAATATCATATCTTTCAGATGGGATCCATTAATTGGTAGGTGGACCATGATTTCCAGAGTAGAACATGACTTTTAGATTAGATCCATCAATTTGTGGGTGGGCCATGATCGATCCCTTACGGAGATATTGTTAGGATTGAAGATAAGACGTTTTCTTTCACTTTAACTTGCTATTAGTCATTTCATAACTGCCATCAATTATTACCTTCAAATTCCTTCAGTAACCATCAGACAAGAAACAATAGATGCTTTGGTAAGGAAAAGCATACTATAATCACATTCAACCTATTAATCCCATGTGATGCTTCTCTATTGCTTGTGCAAAGCATAGTTTTCAAGGTGCCAAGGTGAGGCTAGGCCATTGATTTAAAGGCACGCCTAGTCGCATAGGTGAGGCGCATTCAACCTATTACATGCTTGAAAATGGGCTTTACATGTTATGTTTATGTACTTTAATTTTTTCAGTTTTTTTTTTGAATTTTTTTGGCATTTTTATGATTTTTTTGGCTTTTTTTTTGAATTTTGACTTTGTTTTTGATTTTTTAGCTCTCTCTCTTTTTAGTTTTGTATTTTTGTGCCTTGCTTCGAAAAGGCGTCCACCTCGCCTTGCGCCTCATGCGCAAATTGGCCCTTGTGCGTTTTTTGTGCCTTGCGCTTTTAAAACATTGGGCTAAGCGACAAGGGGCACCTAGTCGCCTAGATGATGGATTTTTGTAAGTAAAAACATATATCCTAGGGTGGTTCCTTAGGTTCCATTTCCATGATTTCCTTAATAATTATCCATAATTTTCATAAGGAAAGTATAAACTTCATGTTAAAATATAGAAAATCAACATATTCATGAGAAGAAAAAGAAGAAAAGAAAATTGAAAAAAATAGAGGTTGAACCCCTATTTTTGTTATAGGAAAAGAAGAAAAGAAAAGGTGGAAGAAGAAAATGTGTTGATTAGACAAAATTTTATGTTCTTATTGGTTCAGGTTTTGAAGTCTTTGAGAGTTTAATACATCAGTTAGCAATGTATGTGTTGATTAAACCCTAACAAATAAGAAAATAATAAAAAAATTAGTATATAAACACACAAAATGATTATTTTAGTTTAATAATGTCTATTTTATAATTATAATCTCAAAAAATTAAGAATATAATAAATTTTATAACATAGTATACAAAACTGCTTGGTGATTTGGTGAGGTGAGCCTCCAAGGGTGCCTTGTCGCCTAGGTGTCGCCTTGACAACTATGGTGTAAAGTGTTCCACCCTTCCATTTAGAACAGTGCAATGCACAATGGAACACTGTAGAACATTCTTTGGTATGTCTTGTGTATCATACATTAATTAACTACTGTATCTCCTGTCTTGTACCTTTATTTGTTATTCTCTTCAGAATCTTCTAGTATATAATGGTGGATGCAGATTTTGGAAATACAAGAAATGCTTTTTTTAGGAGCTTCTACTGCCACTCCTTTTATGCTTGGGTTAGTCTTTGGCTGAGAAGGAAAGAGGAGTGGCAATATCATACCCTTCCCACCGAAACACAAGCTTCCCCTCACTCTATAATTTGTGCTTTTTTCTGAATGTGTTGCATTTTTTCCTTGCCAGGTCAACGCTGGACTAGAGTGTGGTATTGGGGTGGATGATTTTATTGATTGGGAGGTGGGGGATGTTATTGAGGCCTTTAGCACAGTGCAGAAGCAGCGGACGCTTGAAGATGCATCAGCTTCAATGGCCGCTGCACTGGCAGGAGCAGGAGTTGAACTATGAATCATAACACACAAGGTGACAGAATCTCTTCAACCAGCTAATGTGCTTCTTGATGATACCAAGGTGTATGTAGCCTCCTCAAGTATGGAATACCTCCTAACTGAAGTGTTCCAAAATGCTTACAAGTGATGCCTGGCCTTGCTTACTTTTACGCCCTGAATTGTTCCATAGGTATCTGAGCTCTGAGGCGTGCTGATTTTTTATTCATTATTTTAAGCAATGCTGTATATAGTCTTGTATCTTCAATTTCAGCTTCTCGTTGTAAAGAAGGGATGTTTATTTGAAAATCCTTAAGGTTCAGTTCCACACTCGCTTGTAACAGTTTCAAGATACCACTTAAAGAATGAAGTCGTTCCAATCCTTTTGATCCTGCATCACCTGTTACTGTAAATAACTGTTTATAGTGTATTACTATTCATTGGTAATTGGGCAACAACTGATACTGCTTCTTAATTATCTCTGGATCTAACCTCTGAATAATAGAGTTACAGGCTAATTACCAAAATATCCTCTTGCATTATGGTACTTACTTTTTAACCCAAAACCGTACCATAGATTGTACATGTCTTCTATCATTGGATAGCTGCTTACAGTTGACAATGTCACTTATATTTCTTTCTGGTACTGGTTTATTCTTTTTACCCTTGCTTCTTTATGCTGATTTGGCAATATTTTGCTTTCCTTTTTATTTTAGTAGCAGATGTCCTTGATAGATTAATCTCTAGGGTGGATTCTAATATCCTTGTGAGATTAATCTCTAGGCTAGAGTGTAGATAGGGATGGTGTGTCAGTCGGTCATTTACAATTTATAGATGATACAATTCTCTTCTGTGAAGGCGGTGATATGAGGTAGGTTATGAATTTCAAACTGTCAGTCGGTCATCCACACGGCTTCTTTGGCTCTCACTTGCGGCAATGTACTCGGTCTCGGTCGTGGAGTCTGTAGTGGACCCCTGTTTGCTGTTTTTCTAACAAACAG